TTAATACATGTGCACACCAATATCTTAAAGATTTTCTTTTGATCAGCAGATCAGTGTTCAAGTTCCCTGAGTCTTCCCTGTCTGGAAAATGCAAGTCAGTTTCCAGGTTTTCCCTGATTTCCATAGTCACTGGGAACTTCATATGAAGAACCTCAAAGTCAAACTCATAATTCAGATATATATTTTCAATTAAAGTTCATTGGGGCTAAAATTTTCCACAGGACACTAGTGGTAGATCACTAGAAGTGCTGTGAGAGAAAACATCTGCTGCAGTTGACAAAGATCACAGTGATGTGGAGATGGATGCCGCTGTCGGATCGTTACCGTAGACGATGGGTTGCGTCTCCGTTGCCTGCTCCTCTTCTTTTCTTACGGACTCTGAAGTTTCAAGTTTATTAACCTGAAAGATAAAAAAATAAAAATGCAAGTTTTTGAGAGAGCAGCATCAGGAATAGACATCACAAAAGCACTTTTTAAATTTATTATCGATTTATATCAATCATCTCACCACTTCTCAAACATGCATCATCCACACTTTTCACAATGTTTGTTAGTTTAGCACTTTACTGTGCAATGCTAAATACTGTAGCACAAAAAAAACGTTTTATGTTGCTTAAAAACAGCTCGATATATTTAGGAAGACCACACTTATGAGAAAATTTAGTGTGTGCGAGTTAATCTTAACTGCACCAAAGTTCATGCTCAATAATCCAGGTAAAAATCCAACAATGTTCAGTCAGGTCAACTGGACGGTTTCTTTTATTGCCGAGACGTTTCGTCCTTCATCCAAAGGACTTCTTCGATCTGAGAAGCCAGCCACCAAACAAACTGATTCACAGATTGAAGTAGTTCTTTGGATGAAACGTCTCGGCAAAAAAGAAACCGTCCAGATGACCTGACTGAACATCGTTTAATCTTAACTGCTTTGTGGTTTAGGACTACAACCAGACAGTTTTCTTAAGGGAAATAAAGAAAACAAGATTATGGTCCATATGGTTGGAATGAAGACCTGCATTGTTGAAAAGATCCTCTCCGATTGAACAGCAAGTGCAGGTACTGGTCGACACGTTTGCTTTTGCCATTTCTACTAGCAGCTTTGTGTTCCCTTATCGTCACCTGCCCAGCGTATGAATATGGACGACGTGTTCTTGCAGTAAACGGTGTTGCTCAAATAGAAATGAATGAAGTTTCCATTTGAAAGAAAAAAATCATTTTCAATAAAATGATAGCAAAAAGACACCAACTGTTTTTTTGGGTCAGTGTAGTGTTGATCACGGCAGCCCTGCTTGGATCAGCAGCGTGATTCTTAGGAAATAACTTAATGTCACCCAATGGAAAAACACCAGCCACTTATCAAAACTAGAGTTGTATTAGCGAAGCAAAGTTGTATATTTTAACCAACTATTTGGATATCTGAACATCCCTGCCCATCCCTAGGAGCCATAAAAACAAAATGAAGGTTTGCTCAACGGTGAACTTCAGATTTAGCAGTTTTTCATGCTCCATAAACCAACTGCTCAGATGAAATGTTAGTTTACTGTAAACAGACATGCTGTGTGTGTTACTGCTGGCTGTAAGCTGCAGCGCTGAGATGCAGTGTGGTACCGAGGGCCAGGCGCTCCCTGGGGTTCAAACAAAGCAACAGGAAGTCGGGTTCATCCGTCAACCTGCTGCTACACAACATTAAGCGTTCGCATATGCGTCCTCCAGTAACCAGCTGAGGATCAATGAAAAACCTTTTGCATAACACGGAGCTGTGTATGACGCAGACACAGAACGCACTCAACTAAAGTGTGATTTACATTTGAAGTTGAAATCGTTTTAGAACCATGTTCACATTTGGAAAACAACAAGAATATGCAAGTTAGTGTATTGTGCATATTTAACTCCAACAAGAAGAGCTGACCTACCTTACTGAGGTACTCCCTCATGACCTGAATGAAGTACGGCATAGAGAAGTCCATGATGTTGTGCCTCCAGGCGGTTTCCAGCACCACATCGGGCCGCAGCAGGTCATAGCAAGAGAAAAGGCAGGCAGCAAAACACTCCTTCTTGTTCTCCTGCAGGAACCAGGCGAGGAGCTCCTCTGCCAGCTCTATGTCTTTGGACTCTGAAGCATACTGCATGGCATCCTGCAGCCGTGACGACACAAACGAGCTCCGTGTTGATGCTTTACAAGTCTACTTTTCATACAGCCACTTCATTCTCATCTCTGCCAGTATAAAGCGTTACCTATTCTAAAAGAAAAGGAAAAACAGAAAAATACCTTGTACAGCTTGTCTTTCTTACAAAGCTCCACACTCTGTTTCCAGCGGTTGTTGCCTTTGAAGAGGTAGGCAGCAATTCTTCTGAACTCAATCAGCTCGTGTTTCTCCATGCGTTGGGCCAGCGAGATGGTGTCAAAGTTATCGTAAGCGTCTATCGATGTCCTCAGTGCCTGGTACAAATGACATAAATGTCAAATTAAAGCTTTATTTTCTAAATCAAAATTAACTGATGTCAACGGCGCTCACCTGATAGTCCTCTTCTGTGATGAAGAGGTTGTTAAGTGCTTCATTGACTGATTTATTGTTGTGGTTCTGTACTGACCGTAGGTAGGGTTTGACAAGAGGCAGCTGTTTCACCTGGTAACGAACAAAATCACAATTTAAACCAGAGAATGTGTGTATTTTAGTCCAGCTTGTTCATTTTTAGAGGAAGTGAATCGAACCTTGCTGAAGTAGTTGACAGCACGTGAATGATCCAGTCTCGGGGAAAGAACCATGAGCAAATCGTTCAGTAACAACGGCTTGAACTCCAGGTAGAACTGAACGGCTTTGTAGTACAGCTCCACGTTGGCCACCTGCAAACAAAACGACAACGTTAAATTACAGCAACAACAAAAGAAATGCATATAAAAAATAAAATAAAAATCCACACTAGTTTAAAACGCAGTATAAAAACAGATCTTTGTTGATGAGAAACTTTTAGTAAAGTTGCCAAAACAAAAGAATTATGTAATTATTGGAAAAACGGTCGTTTATCACAACTAAATCACTGCATTACTGTCATATTTAAAAACTGCCTGACGTTCTTAAAATAGAACAAGGTTTCATTTTGCCATGTGATCAAACCGTACTTTGGTGATGATATCTTTGAACTGGCCCTCCTTCCAGGCGTCTGTCGGGTGATTCATCATGGTGATGATGGCGTTGTCAAACTCCTCATACTTGTCGTACAGGAAGACCAACTCTGCCCACAGATGAGCCTGCTCCGCTGCTCTCAGGACCTTTGGGATGTTAACTCTGGACCAAAACAGTTCCAGATGCTCCCTCATCTTCTGGGGTTTGAACTTTGAGTAAAGGATGGCCAACTCGGTGAACATTCCCATGTGAGCCCGTTCCAGGCCCAGAGCGGCCTCGAGCATGGTGATCAACTCCTCAAAGTAGCCGCGGTCCTGAGGGAGAGGGGACACATTAAAGTTTTTAACGAAACATGGGGGAAAAAAAAAAATCTAACAGAATACCTCCATTTGTTTGACGGTAATGTTTCATTTAACCTACTTGATAATAGTTGATCAGCTCCTCCAGCTCATCAGCGTGAACCACGATGTGGAGGCCGCACATCTGTGCGAGTCTGAACTCTTGTCCATCCACACAGGCGAAGCACACCTCTTTCCAGGTGCGGGTGCTGTTGGCTTTACGGGCGCCATCCACAGCAGCCTGGTACTCTCCGAGGTGCACCAGAGTGGAAGCCAGACGACCAAAGTTGGACACATTGTTGTACAGCAGTTTAGCTGCTTCGTACATTTTTTCATCGTAGCAACGGTCACCAACCTAAAAAAAAACAACAAAAATAAAAACAATTTTTTTTTTAAGTTTATGGGAAGCTCTACAGATGCATCATTTTAAATGTAATGTGACAACGTTTGGACTACATGAGAGCAGGTCTAACCTGTTGGATGTGAGCATTGTTGGGCCCATTAATAAACTCTTCCAGTTCAGCCAGACGATTGGTTTTGGCCAACGCAAAGATCAGCTCCGTCTCCACATAGGACTCACGAGCCTTCTTACGAGCCATCTGAAGGAATTTGACCAAGTCCTCCCAATTTCCTGGAACACAACATGGACCATTAAAAAATAATAAATACAATCTTCTGACTGCACTTTCAGTGAACACTAGACATCGTCTACTAACTCATTACTCATCTGACAAAACTTAAAGTCCACAGCACAGCTGAAATTATTGAAAGCTTTTAATGAGATGCGACCTGTCAATCAATAGTCTTCGTTTGTTGTGATCTGTTAAACTAGTACCTCCAGAAGTGAGGTACTCGTACCCCTGAGGTACACAAGAGGGACGTAGGAGGTATGTGAGAAATTTTGAAAAAATAAAAAATGTGAAGAGCCAGACTACACTACATAAATAGACTGAGGCGCCTTCTCAACATAAATACATTATGTAAATACTGCCATCTAGTGTTCAGCAAAATCATTGAATTGACTAAGAAGGGTGACTCTCTGAATAAACCCTGTTAATCAAAGCGTCTGGTCCCGGCTGCGAAAACAGAAGGTGTTGCCGAATTTCTGGATCGGACTGCGCACAGAACAGCCAAATGTGTCAAGACTGATTATTTCAAGTTGCTGTGTTCGTTGGTCCTCATCTGCTCACAGACTCATGTTCGTGCTGCTGTTTTGGTGTGTTGTTTTTGTACCATTAGTGCTTAATGTATTCTTAGTCTGTATTTTTAGTTTAGTGAATGTAGTATAACCTTAGTTCATGACTCCAATCTTACTGTTTCTCTTTACAATTTGTGTTTTTGTTGGATGTAACTGGGACGGCGCGTACATCGTTTCGTCCCACCTCATGTACCACGTGTGGTGTGTATGACAAGTAAATCTCTGAATCTCTCTTGATGCCCTTTGCTACAACGTTCTTGTGTGAATGTGGACTCAGCTCTGACAAATATGAAAACAAAACGGAGCAAAACAAAATACAGAGCAAGACTTTGTGTTGAGAATGGTTTAAGACTCTGACTGTCTCAAATTAAGACAAACTTACCAGAGTTGTGTGCATCCTTCCAAGCACACCCTTCTCATTAAAACTGTGGTGAGTTTAATTAACTACACAGTATGTTCAATAACTGTTAGTCATCATATAAATGTTTTGCAATGTATTCATTCTACACAGGCTAAATGTTTGGATAATTCAGCCTACAAATGTATTGCTTATTCATGCTGACATTTATTAATAAATATTTGGTGGGAAAACATTTACAGTAAGATTTTATTTGACGTGTGCAGTTTTTGAGAACACATTTTAAATGGGGGGGTACTTGGCTAGAGGTCGAATGTCTGAAGGGGTACACATCTGAACAAAGTTTGGGAACCACTCTGTTAAACAGATTTTGCACAAAGCATTTAACAGGTTGTGTAAAGTAAAATTTACACTTCGTACATACTGAATTTCACTGCAAGGCAAAAATGCCTCACTGAACACCTTCACTTCGTGATCGTCACTACCTCCACCAATACAGCCATCTTGTTTGTTTGTTTGTTTGAGGTTAGCTCACCCTGGTTATATTTCCGTATGGGTGGAGCGATCTTACTGTGAGCATCATGTCAAATGGATGAAAACCATTTCTTATTGGCACAAATGAATCTACATTACTTCACACAATTTGTTAAGTCACTTCTAATCCATATATTTTTCCTTAAATGAAGCTCAACCAGTCTCCTTACCACTCTTATCGGCTGCAGCTACCACCTCCATGTACGCAGAGGGGTCGTCAGCTTTGATGTAGGAGTCGATTGCTTCCTTGACCAGCTCTTTCTGTAGCTGAGCCTTGGCCAGCTGGCTCCACACAGCTGGTTCATTGCAGCGTTCCGCAAACTCATAGGCCCGGTCCAGGTTACCAATATGCTCTATTAGCACCTAAGAAAATAATAATTAAAAACAATTAACTCATCTTCCCTCAATAAGGCATCAGTATAAGAGCTAAGAGTCCTGACAGACCTGCACAGCAGAGGTGTTGACATCAAACTTCTTAAAGATGGCAAAGGCCTCCTCGTAGAGCTCATTGCTGATGGCAATGTTTGCAATATCAGGAGCATCATAATTATCCAGCCTGCTGATGTACTCCATCACACGGGTGTGGTCAGCTTTGATTGCCGTCAAGATCAGCAGGTTCTGCAGATTTCTGAAGCAGAATCAAGACGGTACTGAGTACGCTCACCCTCAGACTATTCATTAAACTTAGAAATGACTGAGGTAATGGCAGAAGTGCTCTGTGATTCGATTCAACACCTGTGTTCACTGAAGACCGAGTTGTCCAACACAATCTTCTCCAGCAGCTCAATGAGCTCATTGGGCAAGTCGGCAGTCATGAAAGCTTTGACGGTGACAGACACCTCCTCTGGATCTTGAGTTTCTGACAGTGCTGTTTGTACCACCTGAAATCAAATAGTTTAGAAAAGCACAAGGCAAAAGGTACAGATTAAGACGCAGCTTCACATTTTTCCACCTATACCTGATCGATGAGTGGTCGCCTGAAGGGATTGCTCTCGAGCAGGACACTGGCCCACAGTTCAGGGTCCTTGCGTCGGACGAGGTAGCGGGACAAGCTCTTGAAGAGGGAGTTCTCATTGCAAACCTGATGAGATAAAGACAAATATTATGTTTCCTGTTAAAAAGAAAATAGCCGAGTCTATAACCACGATTTTAAGTAGATTAAAGTAAAAGCAGAACCCAGGAAACCATGTTCCTCACATTGATTAGCTCCTGGTCGCACTGTCCTCGCTCATAAGCCACACAGGCAAGATGAGGGTCTCTCTTCTCACAGTACTTTCCCACCACGCGACTGTCGTAGAAAGGATTTTCTCGCAGGAAGCGTTCAGGGTTGTTGTTGCTGTCAATGTAGATCTTTGCCAGGGCATTGTGGGTAGCAGGTTCTTCACAACCTTCATGAATTCGAGACTCCAGCCATGGCAGCAACAGCTTGAGCCTGAGATGAAAACAAACGGACGCCCACATTTGATTTTTCAACACAAATTAGACCAATTATAATGTTAATTTTAGCATTTCAATAAGTTTAGGGCTACTTCTTTGAAAGTGTACTCTTAAAAAAAAAAAGTTTTCTAAACGACAAATTGCAAATAAATTAAATGTTCAGTCCCATTAGTAAATAGCAATCATTCTTTGCTGCATGAAAAGCTGCAATCGTCTTATTTTCTTTATTAATCTCCTATTCTTATTTCTTACAATAAGTATAATTTAATATTTCAGTTTTTTTTGGTGGCAGTAATGTGGGAGGAAATCAATGATGAAAAAGTACAACACCTGTTCCTCTTTTCCACCTCTGCAACCAGCTCATCAGTAGAGAACTGCCCCCTGACAACTAGGATCAGACTCTTGATGACATCCTCAGAGCAGTCCACATCCAAGAGACCGCCGACTACAACAGGCAGGCGACTGGGATTCACCTAAAACAAAAAAAAACTTGACTGTAAATATTTCTCATTTGTACAAAATGTAGTTCTGCATTCCTGCAACTGTCTGGTTCAATGTTCACCTTCTGAACATAAATCTCAATGTACTTCTGCAGGTTGTTGCGGTAGAGGTAGAGGACGAGGTCGTGGACGAAATCAAAACGATCACAGACAATGATGAGGGGCAGTTGGTCGGTGAGTTTGGCTTCCTGTGTCACAAAAAAAGGGGGGGGGGGGGGGGTCAGAGTGTTAGACATGACCAGCAAGAAAAGGTCTAAATAAACTAATTTTAACATGATTAACAAAAAACTGATAAAACTACTTAACAGAAATATAAATTTAACACAATGATCAATTTTACATTTAAGATGCAATTTAACAGCAACACATCAAAGAAATGTTACTGTAACAGACAGATTATGTTACTGGATCATGAGGGGGCAGCAGTGATCAGCAGACGGGCCGACGCACTGCTGCCATCCACAGAATGAGCAAACTGGGATTGAGCCACTAATTACACACCATTAAGTCACTAATATTTAGGAACATGCTGCACTGACTACAACCTCTTATTACAAGACACACACAAGCACAAACTATAGGAGTTCAGCTCGATAGCTAGGTTAACACCTGTAACTACACAAACATTAAATGAACGATTAGCACTATACAAAACTAGTCTAGAACGGTCTGTACCCAAGCAGTGTATGGACTGTGAAGTATAAACATACACACCCCCATACAAATCCCAGTTACAAGCCTGTGTTTTAAAGAAAAGGAAGAGGGGAAAATGGGATCCTGTGCTTTGTGGAAAAACAAATTTACCTGATACAAGTCCTGTCATTCCAAAGATAAAAGGTAAAGGATAAAAAAATATTTTACTGCCATCAGGATTACTGCTTGAACATTTATAACAAGACACACTGCCAAGTGTCGGTGATACTACCGTAATAATTTTTATTTATAAAATTGACTAAAATGTAAATTTATCGTGTTTTTTTTTTTTTTTTTTACTTTAATTCCAGATTTATTCACAAACTTACTTTAAAATGAAATATCAGATCTTTTGAAGTGGAGTTCTGTGGAAATGTCATGAACTACTCTCTTCTGCATTTCATAGTTATTTACTTTGACTTCAATGAAGATTTGCTGCAGCAGCTAGTTGTAAAACATCCAGTAAGAATTTAAAAATAATTCTGCCAGAATACTGCATCAATGCAAAACTGACAATGATGTGTTCACATGAAACGCAATATAATTTTTAGATTGGAGTTGTTTTAATACATCCAAATCTACTTTGGCCTTGCCACTGCAACATATATATGAACGACCAAAAAAAAATAATAAACCATTCTCAAACTTTCCGCAGAACCAAACTTTAAAATATCTGACCTAAAGAAATATGAATACAAAGAAGCAGAATTAAAGATTACAAAACATCACTTGGGAAATTTTGTCTTTACACTAAAACAAATGGCAGACATCAGAAGCACACCAAATAAAATGATTTTGCGTTTTAAGTGTCAAGACGGAAAAGTAAAAAAAAAAGAAAAGTTCAAAATGCACCATTATCTTTGTGTTTTGGCTTTACCTTGAGGAAGTTCTTGACTCGCTCAGGGTCGTAGCAGTTGCTCTCTCTACAGATCCTCTCCACCTCTTTGATCTGGCCGGTCTTGCAGGCAGCTTGAATGTATTTGAAGTGAACTTCAGGATCCTGACTGAAGTTCACAATAGAACCCAGGAAGTAGAACAAACCTAAGGAACAAAGACGTGTCAATATCATTAGCAAACACAAAACTAACGAAAATTATGATCTAATACTATAGTCTGAAAAGTTTAAACAGGTCTTAACATGCTGTTCTATTCCACACAACTTTTAAAATGGCCCCCCCCCAGAAAAACAAAAACCTGCAGTTGAGCCCGTCCAGGTCATTCCAGTCAAACTATTGATGGAATGGCCTCTTCTGTAGCCTTGACGTCTAATCGGTAAGTTGGATTATGTTTATTCAAGTACAAGGGCAGGATGGAATTCCAGCGTATATAAAACCAAAAAACAAGTCGCACCATGAAACTGAACTGAAAGAATGACTTCATGTAGAAGTTTTCCCAAAGGCAGGTCCCGAGGTTCTGTTCCCAAAACCAGAGGAAGAACACGAGGGGCTTTCAGACACATGGAGGGGAAATACTTTTTGTAAGATAAACTGCAGGCCTTTTGTTTTTTTGGAACTTTATTACCTCAAAGAACAACAACAAAGGCAATTTACAGATGATAAAGAACAAAGTGTTTGTTTTTGATAAATTTATTGATCCAATCTAAACAATAGATGCATGCAGAATTGAGCAACATTCAGATTAGTCAAATAGAATAGAGTCCTGACCATCTTTGTGAGAAAATGTCCATTTTCATTTGTAACTGGGCAGTCAGACACCATCACATATAGACACGTTTCAATGTTTGCATCCATTGAGCAACAGTTTGTGAGCATAGTTTAATCCAGTTTAGGGTAATGGTCTTTCTTGCCACTAGCAACAGGATGTGCAATATGTAACAATTTTTTTTTCCCATTCAACCTTTATAAAGGATAGTCTCATTGAGCCACGAGTGACCTGTTCCAGACAGAACATCTTTGGTGATCTTTGACATGATCTTTAGTGAGTAAGTCCTTGGGATACATGTCCAGAAGAAATGGGTCCATTGGAAGATCTGTCCTTAGAAAGTCCTCAATCTTCTGTTTAATGTTCTCCCAAAAAGGTCTTAATTTTGGGGCTGTCCCAAAAGACGCATTTGGTCACCGACCATACCACAATTCCTCCAGCATTTATCTGCAAGTCTTCTGCTTTTTGTTATTAGGGCTTTCCTAAAATAAGCATTTTCATAATTCCTATCACGATGGGTTTCTGATCATTAGCTGTAGAGAAAATTTTAGTTAGAATTTTAATTAGGATGCTGCCGACCTGCAGTTGCTCTAGTGCAAATATATAATACCTGTTCCATGTCAAAGGACACTGTCCAAAAATAAATAAATAAATTGTTTGCGCAGCTGTTGCAAGTTCAAAGCTCTTACATTAATTGAGGGAGGGGGAGTATTTGCTTTTCAGTCTCTGCTTCATAAAGTTTCATACAAGGCATTATACTACCAAGACCATCTGGTTCAAGAAAACCTGGCTGACATCCGGGACTGGATGGCTTTAAACTTCTTAAGCTTCAATGAGAAGAAGTCTGAAGTCATGCTGTTCCATCCCAGTGGCTCACTCATGAACTATGACATTGACCTTTTCTCTCTAGCCC